ATCTTTACATATGTTGTCATCTTTTTCAAAACAGTTTTTACTTGAGCCCCTGGCATCAGCCCCTCATTTTCCCCCTCCCTCCCCCATGCCCCTTGATAATTTATAATTTTTTTTCATGTCTTTACATTGACTACTGTCTCATTTCACCCACTTTTCTGCTGTTTTAATCTAGCCAAGCTGATGTCCACATCTTTAGAGAGAGGGGATAGATGGCATCCATGAAAGAACTAACTTTCTTATAAAAAACAAATAAAAACAAAACAAGAACATCACCAGCATGTGTTTCTTAGGGTTTTCGATGTCTAGTGTTTTGAAAGTAGATCACCAATTTTTCTTCAGAGGTGCTTCTGGGTGACTTAGAACTGCAGGCTTTTCTAACTTTACCTATTTACACCATTCAGAGTCTCCTTTTCTCTTTATTGCTCATCTCAGACAAACAGAAATTCTGTTTGTATCTCTATGCCTGAAAGGGATGATTTTGTTTCAAGTAAGATAATTCAAAATTCACTGGGACCTCAAATCACTCTTCTGCGGCTAACTCTGATCCATGGGCATTTTATGTTTTAGGAATTCACAGCAAATTATGTAAGTAAATAGTCTGAATTAATGATTCTTTTTACCCCATCCTCTTCCCACTCGTAATCCTGCATCTCCTCTACCATGGGAGAGCATCAGTCTAATCAAAGCCAAAGCTCTGGAAATAGCCTCTTTACCTCTACAGCAATCTCAGTGAGAGAGGACTGAATAGCCTGATTTGCATATTCTTCTTTGCATTTCATACTCTTACTTTACATGGAAATAAATGATAGGTCTTATTTATAAAGAAGTTCCATTTCTAACAAAGTATTAAGATGAATGCAAAGTTAATGAAGAGCAAAGTACCAGTAGCATGAGTCAAGATAACTATCTCAAAAAGTAATTGAATTTGCTGTGAATTCATTTCAATTGTGAATAGCATATTAGTTCATTGAGGAGATCATAGGGTCCCAAAATTATTGGCCTACTGGCTCCTTTTCAGGAAAAAAAAAAAAGAAAGGAAAATTACTCAGCACTCCTGTGCTACAGGCCACCCACCATCCAGGAAAAAGTGTAGACACCTGCTTTCCCACCAGCCCCGGGTGGTTCCAATGTCCTCAACTTTGGGAATCACTGATGTAGGTGTGGAAAGACAGAGAGGCACACATAGCCATTCCCTAAAGGATGGCACGTAGGTATCAGCGACTGTTACTATGTTTCTAAAGCATGGCTTAGAGC